TCCTTTTCTGTAGCACACACTGGACACTTACTTATTCTGAAGGTTAAAAATCTTCTGAACTAAAACCCTGGCAAAAGCTATTAGGGAGTCATGGAGTGTCCCTATGGTACTTAGCCCAACAGTTATGGATGAAGAGGGAGAGGAAATTGGTCCATGTGGATCTCTCCCTGCCACTGGAGCTCACATTGTGCTGGCCGGAGGTACAGTGTCCACTCGTGCATGGGAGCCTGGTTAAGTTTTGAAGCAGTGATGGAAATAGGTTCTCCTTCAAGAATCTGTTTCTCTCCTTGAATTTCTAGGAGGGTAACAAGTACAGCGCAGTGACATCCTGCCCTGCTCAGCCCAGCCGGGCTCTGTGGCAGAGGGGACATTTGATTCCCTTGGATATCTTGACTTCCCACCCCCTGTAGTTTCAGGAGGCGCAAGGAGAACTGAGAGAGGGTTAAACAAAGCATAGCAGAGGCTGATTTGGAGATGAGTGTGCAGTGATGGCTGAGCCAAGTAGTTTAGGTCAATGGTTTTGTTATTTTGCTTGGTCTGTGTAGCATCCTTTCATTGGGATTTATAAATGCTGTAATAACAGTACTGAGGAGCTGGAAGTGCCTGCTCTGGCATGGCTTGCTTGCTTTTCTCACTGGTTTTTTATTAGGAATGAAAATTAGTTGGGAATGAGGAGATAATGTATGGCTTCATATCATAAAAGTTGCACTCCTTGATAAGATTTCAAGGTTAGAACAATGATAGCTCTGAAATATCTGTTGTAAACTACCATAGATAATTCAAGCAATAAACCAGCTTCTTTTAGCTATGTAAATAGGGTAATAGACTGGAATGCAGGATCTGGGTGTGTTAAATGTTGGGGTTATTTTATATTCGAACAATATAAACAGAGAAAATGGAGCTGAAAATTAATTTGAGTAGGAAACGGGGAAGATTCCTCTTTGGAATGGTGAGGCAGCGAGGGATGGCTCGGAGTTCGCTTTGTTTGGAAGCCCCTGCGCTGCTGAAGGGAGCAGGAAGCCGTCAGTGTGATGAGCCAGACGAGAACCATTTCTCTGCCTCTTTTCCTCTTTCTCTCCTGATGAAAAGAGCGATGGGGTTTGGGGAGAGGCTGATGTAATTAGGCTGAATGCGTGGTGATGGTGGGATGCTGTCCAAGGGTGTGTTGAGTCACATCTAATGACTTCAAAACTACTAATTAATTTCGAATGAACTGGAACGAGGAGACGTGGCTTGACAAGAACTGGGGTTTGAAAGCTCGTGTTGGAAACTGCCAGTGTAGTGATCCTGGGCAAGGGGATGAGAAAAGAGGGAAGAGCCTGGTGAGCCTGTTGGAAAGGGCCGAAAGAAATGGGGACAAAAAAGATAAAGTCAGGGAATGGAATGAAGCTTCTGGTGCAGATCAGTTCTGGTAGCTCTGAGCTACTGGTTAGTTAGCAGCTCACAGGAATGGATGGTGGAAACTCCTCAAGTCTGTCACTTCCATTTCCAATTTGCTCAGTTCATTTGCAAGCAACATAGTGAAATCTGTGCGACACCTCTGGTCTTGCACTAACAGATCAGGCTCCATCAGGGAAACACGTCTTCATTGCTCTATAAAAGCTGCACAGCGTGCAAGGTCTTGGATGATGATCTCGGAGAGAGATGAAGGGTAAGAGAGAAATCAGTGGAGCATGTGTGGGTTTGAAAGGATGGGACAAAAGGGCCCCAAACTGAAAGGCAAGAGATAAGAAAAAGGCAGAGCAAATTTGGAGCAGAAGGGAGTTAAGTTGGGCAGAGGTTGGTCTTGTGCTTACAGGTTTCTTTTTGACTAGTAAGTGGACTTGAATTATACATTGAAAACTGCAGAAGGTGGGAAAGTTCTAGGTTTTGGTGGGTTTTCCATGTCCTGACACTTCATAGTTTCTTACTGAAAAGATGCCACTTCTGCTTTGCTCTCGGATCATCCTGTCTCACATTACCTCTTGAGACAGTTGTAGTTCTCACCAGTCTCCAGAGGTTCTGGTCCTCTTCTGTTTGTGCTGGCAATTAACACCATGATTATGGTTCTTTCACTGTGTCATCTTGAAGTGAGGTCTCCAGGGCAGTATATCTGAATAGCACTTGGGACAGTGATGTTTGAGGTATGTTGAAGACCTCTCCAGGTGCAACTGCAATAGAATAATCCTATTTCCTCTGTCATAAAATAAGATAACAGTTTGGCAGCTGCTCAAATCAAGACAAATGAAATAAACTGCTCTAAATTCATCATGGAAAGAAACAGACCTAGCTACAAAATGACTAACAGGACCTTCTATTCATCTGTACAAATCTGGTGTGTGGCTGCATTCATTTCCATACAATCACTGGAAAATATTATGTGATTGCTGGGAACAGATCTTTTATGGGGAGGAAAAAATCCGTGCTACTAATCTACAGTGGAATTGGTAAATGGGTAAGACAAAGCCTTAATAATATTATTCTGTGCGACATCTGATGTAAATAATACAGTTCTATTAATCTCTCAAGCAATCAGAGTCTGGCTGTGAGAGGCAGCCAAGTATGAGCAATAGGAGCAATAGTATTATCTCTTCTTGGGAACGTTGGAGCAGCATCACAAATCCATTGCTGTGAAAGCAGTTGCTGCCCCAGCTCCAGGAGTCGCGGTGAAGCGGGGCACAGGCTGCCTGTGCTGGGTTGGGGTTCAGGAGGACATCTCCAGGGTCTTCACTGCAGCTCTTTGGGCTCCTCCTTGCAGCCGGTCTGTGGGAGGGGTTTTGGGAAGCTGTGGTTTCTTGGGAAGCACGAGTGCGCTGTCCTTTGACTCTTCATCCCTCCGCAGGGAAGGTGAACTCCATCAGCTCGTGCTCAGGGCTGGCCAGGTTCATCCAGGAGTTAGTGTTGCTCGCCCCAGAAGCACGTGTGCGTTGGCTGCCCTGTAACAAGACATTAGTGAAGGCAGCCAAATGAAGCAGAATTTTTAAATGAGGGCCTGTGTTTCCGAGTGTGATTGAGGATCCCACTGCAGGTCAGGGTGCTCTGATTCCTCACAGTTTGTTAAGTAGAGAGCAGCGAGTGTTAGAGATTGACTTTTAAAAATGATAGATTTTTATTTATAGCAAAGTTATAGTCATTAATTTTAAAGGATGGAAGCATAAAGCCGGAATGAGTTTTTTTTAAAAAAAAAAAAGAAAAGACGTGGGTAATCTAATTAAATTGGGGTTTGGAGTCTCATTACAGAAAATGAAACGTTATTTCTACACTGCTTTTCAACCCATCCGATGTACTTGATAGCATCCCCCCTTACAAAACCTGCACAGAAATAGTAATGACCACGTGAAAGTTGCTGCTGAACTTCCCAGCTCCAGGTGCTTCGTGCAAGGATGTAAATACTGTTTTGGGGCAGGGAGCAAGGGA